ATAATAGAGTATTCTTTTCTTTTACATGAATCAGTGAAGAGAATATAGCGCATAAACAATTTGAGTTGTAATGAAATAATGAAAATGTAAGGTTAATTATATACGTTAATAATAATGATGACAATTAATTGTAATTCTGATAATAATGATAACAACAAAAGTGGTGATTTGAAGGCAATAGAGAATCGCTCGTTGGTATCGGGTGAAGTAACAAAAGGACCTCGCACAGCCCTACAACGGCTGCCGAGGCATATGCGTCGTCGTGCGATGTCGTATAATATTAAACGATTTCCTCGGAATCAACGCCGATTCGCTGCATCAGCTGTAAAGGCATCGAAACATCGTAAGAAAGCACCGAGCAGATTTTGGAGAAGAAGACCTCGAAACTTGCTATTGGTTCGTTCATTCGCTTCATTTCGATTGCATTGGATCAGTTCCGTCCAATGCAGCAATTATTGTTGTTTTTATTGACGTTAATACTGCAGTTTTGTTGAAATCATTATTATATTTCTGATGCTTGAAAATTTAGAATTATATAAGACGACAACGAAAGCATATTTGGTTGGAGACACACGTGTGGCATGCAAAACGATTCTATATGTGCGATAAATGGGGCTATAGATTAGCGTTACGCAGCTATCAACGTGCCTATCGTGCCACTTATCGTGATGCCATGAGACATTGCACTATCAGAGACACAAGTTTCATCAGATGTTTTCAAGTGAATTCATTTCGATTTTTGTTTTGTTACTCATCGATAATTTTAATCGCATTTCATTCGGCATTATTGTTTCTATTAGTAATTGATATATTGGCCATTACGAAACGGTTTACAAATTTATGATATTTATTGAATGTATCATTCTATAATAGGTGGAAATTTTATTTGTCTTATTTTCTCAATTCTTTCAATCAAAATTTGGAAATTACTGTTATTGAACCAGAATCAAATCTCTATCATTGAAATAGGTAAGCAGATAATTGATAACGATTCATTTAATTTCGGTCAGTACTAAATGTTATCCCAACGCAACATCAAAATATAAAAAATTACCACTGAATGGTTAAGATATTTTGTGGCGGTAATGAAAATGATTTGATCAGTGCATTACGTCCTTTATGTGAGCCATCAGCCAGTGCTACGTTCGCATTCAAATCGGCACTAGAGGATCGATTTGAAATAACAACTTTACTCTTCGAACCCGGCAAGTATCCGTTCGGTTTCATTGGTCCTGTTCGATTCTGTTGGACAGGTGAAAGGTTTGTCGTTGATTCGGTATTATTCATTTCATTTATTGATTACTGAAACAATGACTTTAATTAATTCATTGAAGTGTCATACTGATGTGAACTTTCGAAGAGCTCTTTCCAGCTCTACTGTTTGGTCGGATAATTCTTTGTCTTTGATGTTTTCAATTCAGAAGGACGAATAGCCGATAAATGTTTTATAAAGAGAAGTGATTTTCATTACTTCTTAACAGAAATTCGTTAATCGTTTGCAGTAAAAGTGAATGGAGGTCACTGATAATTTGGTGTCATCCATCGTACAGTGCAATTTTGTTGAATCGTTTAATTGAACTGCTGAAGTTGACGAAAGATGGCGATAACGCTGTTGATGAACAGTGCTCTGCAACGGAACAAATCAAACAACCAAAAACACTCAACGAATGGCGTTTACAAAATT